AATATTGCAATTGAGAAACCAGAACTTGGATGTAAATGGAAATAAATGTATAGATTTGGAACTGGGCTTCTGATGTCTTTATTGCATCGATGTCGTAGACTTTGCGTGCATTTTCTAATCGTTTAAATGTACTGCAAGAACGGCTTTCTGCAGGCAGCAAAAAAAATCAAGATGGCATCCCAAACCACAGAAAAGGCTTAAAGGCCCACCCTCTTTCTATGTGCAGTGTTGATAGGAGTGTGTTGTTTAAATGCTTGTTTGTTTGAGCTGGCAATTCCTCGATTAGGGTGTTGTTTACTGCTTGCTTGTTTGCCTGATAAATAGGTATTAATCCCTGTTTATCGGAGTGCTGATTTGCTGGTGTTCTGATCTTTTCGTTTCCTTGTTTAGCTTTTCCTTCTTGTGGTAGAAAACTTTTTTACTCAAGAGCTCGCACGTGTAGTAAGGGTCAAAACCATGGCTTCAGTGTCCAAACAGGAGTGAACAAATTAACTGTGCATAAATACAATTGAAATCTGTTTCTCCAGAACTGGTTTTTGCTTGTGCTACCGATTTATTAGATTTTGATCCAGCTTTTTTTGTTCAGAAGCTCAAAGAGATGTGCATAGCAGCCCCTCACCCCCCCTCCCCGTTTTATCCCCCCAACAATCCCTGAGCTTGGTTGGGCTCTGAGCAAGGGAGGGCCCCCAAATAATCCACTTAACCTCCTGGATGTGGAAGGACTTGAACCCGGATCTCCCTATCCTGATCCAACACCTTCACATTGAATAATAATTTAAAAAGTATGTATTAAAACAAAACGTAGTGTGATGGAAGCTTCTACTTTACGACAGCTGGGGCTTCCAAATATTGCCTTAAATGTTTTCATTCCAAGCGAAGAAAAGTGTAGTAAATGACGACAGCATTTTGCCATACCAGAAGAAACGGCGAGCATTCATGTGTGTGTGTGTGTGTGTGTGTGTGTGTGTGTGTATCAGCTGACAGAAGTGAGGAGAACCTGTGGCCTAGCGGTTAATACAGCTGCCTAAAGTGCAAGCGGCCCAGGTTCGAATCTCGAAAGGGTATGGCTAGCTGAAGAGAGCTAAATAGCTCGAAATAGCTATAGTCATCTCCCTTTAACTCTTTGTCAGCAAAATCTAAATATATAGATATAGATATATTTTCAAACATTTATTTCATCAGAAGTCAGGAAGTTTCAAGAAGGCAAAAACATTCCCGGAGCTCTGAAGCCACACATTTTCACGCCCGCCTCTTGTACTCCGAAGGAACTCCCTTGTGTCGAGTCAAAAAGTGGAGCATTTCTCCTCAGCCAGCAGTTTTCTCCTTCCACAAAAGTTGAGTCGCTCAGATTTCGATGGGCTTCACGATTGGCTTCCTGAGGTGTCTCATGTTCGCGCTGGGCTCGCTGGGTTTGAACGGCGCCAGCGCCCCGTAAGGCCTCGGTAGCGGGAGAACGTTTTCGTCATCGGGGATGTAGGCGTTGGGACGCTGTTCCGCCGTTGTGTGGATGGCGGTGGGCAGGGCTGCCTGTTCTTCTTCCAGAGCCTGCTGGAGGAACAGAATATGGGGGTCAGTGTTAAATTTATTCTGAGCCGCTGGCTAAGGTGCATCGAGGTCAAGGTAATGATTTCAAAGCTAAACCAGCTGATGTAATGTATGCTGTAATGATGGGAATGACTCAGCAGGGTCTGTGTCTCTTTAAGAGCCTTGTATAAAAGGGAAGATGTTTTCTCTCCTGTATTCCTACTGTAACTGCTGTGTGTTGAAGATTGCTGTATTACCACGTCTATGTATATTGTTCTGATGTTGTACATAGTGTAAGATAAACCACCATTTAATATAGACCACTGTTTATTGTGTTTACTCCTGGGTTATCTCAGCGCAATAAGACTGTGCCTGCTCTGACAATTGACCTGCTAGAACAGGGGTCCCCAACCTGTGGCCTGCTGGCCACGGAACAGGCTGGCCAGCACTGCCCATGTAATCACACGCTCACATCCCCACTCGCGCTCACACCGATGCTGCTATGCAAGCGTAGCATTTGCGTGTGCGCCTGCACGTGCGTGTAAAATGCTTCCCCTCTCCCTTTCCCTCCGGTCCTCCAACCGAGAAAGGTTGGAGACCTCTGTACTAGAAGAGAGTCCCTCTGTGCTGCCTGACTTCAGAGCAGTTGTATAGCAATAGTACTTATATACTGCTTCACAGCGCTTTACAGCCCTCTCTAAGCGGTTTACAGAGTCAGCATATTTGCCCCCAACAATCTGGGTTCTCATTTTACCGACCTCGGAAGGATGGAAGGCTGAATCAACCTTGAGTTGGTCAGGATCAAACTCCTGGCAGTGGACAAAATTAGCTGGCAATACTGCAGTCTAACCACTGTGCCACTGTGCCTTCGCACCCATAAGAGACCTAAGTCCAGTCCACCTTCTATTCCAGTGATGGCGAACCTTTTAGAGACCGAGTGCCCAAAAACTGGCCCCGCCCCTGCCCCGCCCCCACCCTGCCTGCCCGCAGGGCCAATCACCGCCTCCAGGGCCTGCTGCATATCGCCCAGCAGCACCATGACGGCCATGCCTTCTGCTTGCGCCCCGCAGCATCAACTGCGTGAGGGCAGAGTCTTGTCTACACTGCCTGGCTGCCATGTCCTTGGCTGCACTGCTCCAGGTAGGCCACGCTCGGGGGCAACTCTCCTCCAGGGGGGCTGCTGGTGAGGGTCGTGGGGGGAGGCAAGGCTGGGGCAATGGCACGTGTGCCCACAGAGAGGGCTCCGAATGCCGCCTCTGGCACCCGTGCCATAGGTTCGCCACCACTGTTCTATTCCACTGACTCTTATCTACTGCTAATTTCCCTTGATTGTTAGTAGCTCAGATTGTTGTAGAGAGCTTCAGCTTGCCCTAAACCTTTATCCCCATTTGAACTGCCTGGATCTTCTGATTTCCCTGGCACTTGACCACCATCTTCTCGTGATGTTCCAGGACTCGGGTCATTTTTATAGACACTACACTGCTTTGCCCACTGACCAAAGCTGCCTCCTGAAAAATATCGATGTTCTGAGAAAACCCGTTGAGAAGGCTCACTTTTTCTCGCGCTTCGCTTGCTATTTGATGCATTTTTTCATCCCGCAGAACCCGGAGCCAATCCTGTTCGATGTCCCTGGGAGGAGGAAGGCCTTTGGCCAGTCGGGAGACCACAGACAGCACGGTCTGCTCTTTGTCCCGCATCTCTTGCTGCAGGTTAATGGCCACTGCCTGATGCATGGACAGCTCCGCGATGAGGGCCATTATCTTCTGGGTGGTGCTCTTTATTTTCTCTTGAAGCACGTTCATCTGGAAGGAATCGCAGGAGCAAAGAGCATAGAATCCTACAGTGGGAAGGAATCTCGGAGGTCCTCTAGTCCAGGGGTCCCCGAACCTACGGGCCGTGGCCTGGTACTGGGCCGCAGAAATGGCTGGCCAAGGTGTGCACACGTGGGCACGCATTCTCCCCCCCACTCGCGCTAGCGCCCAAGGCCCTGTTTGCACATGCGCGAACGGGAACTCTAGCACGGGGGGCGTGTGCGTCCCATTTGTGCATGCACAAACGGGCCGCTAGCACGGATGTGGGTGTGTACGTGGCCTATTTGCAATGCACAAACGGGCGCTAGCCACCATGGGGTGGAACCCTAGCATGAGGGGCGTGTGCGCCCCATTTGTGCATGCACGAACGGGCCGCTAGCACCGGGTGTGTGCGTGGCCCATTTGCGATGTACAAACGGGTGCTAGCTGCCGCGGAGGTGCACAGCCGTTCACGCATGGTGCCAGCGCATGCCACACGCACAAACACGGCCACTAGTACTGTGCCAGTGGGTGTGGCCCTGTTTGTGTTCTCGCATACGTGTGGGCACGAAGTAATTTGGAAGCTGCTCTCCCTCCGGGCCACGAACCCAGAAAGGTTGGAAAACTCTGTTCTAGTCCAACCCGCCACACACAGCCCCTGCTCAAAGCTGGCCACCTTGTATCATCCCAGTTGAATGGTGGCCCAGTCTATTTTTGAAAACCTCCTGCTTGCCGTTGCCACCAAAAGCCTAAACTGGGTTTATAGTCGTCCTTTGTTTAGTGACCGTTCAAAGTTACGACGGCAGTGAAAAAAGCTACTGATGACCGTTTTTCACGCCTAAGACCATTTACGTGATCAAAATTTGGACGCTTGGCGACTGCTTCATATTTACGACGGTTGCCTTTAGCGACCTTCCGACAGGCAAAGTCAATGGGGGTACTAGATTCACTGGATAAATGGGTTACTAACTTATCAAGTGCGGCGATTCCACTTTGCGACTCTGCGCAAGAAAGTTCGTAAAATGGAGCAAAACTGGCTTAACAAAGGTCCCAGTTGGGACAATGGTGGTCTACCTGCACACAGAATTGACATCGTCAAACCAAACCACAACTGCGCTACCTTTTTAGCCAGGATTAACGTCTCCTCCTTGCTGTTTTCTGCCTTGACGCTGACTTTCTCCGTCATCCGAGAAACTTGCTCGTAAATAAAGTCCTTTTCCAGCAGTCTTTCCTCTTTCCGAGTCAGATGAATTTCTAACTATATAGGCAAAGAGCAAAGGTGTAAAAAGCAGGCAGAGGCTAATAATTGGGAGGAAGCCTGACTTTTTAGCCGTGTTCCAATCACCCGCTGGTTCTAGTTGCGTCTTTAACGGCGGCATCCTGCTAATCCAAAGGCCAATTTGGGGGGGGGGGGGAATCTCCTAATTACCCCCGGGAAAATCAAATGGAAGTTGGGGAGCCTGCAGGGATGGGGAGAATGCCCGCCCCTTTGACTCTCTGGTTTGCCTAGCTGTGCTGGGGTTATGCATGAAAAAGTGGGAGATGTATACAGGAATGCCGTCATTTCGTAGGAGGTGGGGTCCTTTGGGGTCTCTGAGCCTGGGGGGGTTTTCTTGCAGACGTTTCATTACCAAACTAGGTAACGCTATCAGTGCTAGAAGGGAGTGGGGTTTGTGGAGAAGAGGAGGAGGAGGAGGAGGAGGAGGAGGAGGGAAAAGTATGGGGTCCTTGGTGCTCTCTGAGCTTGGTGGTTTCCTTGCAGATGTTTCATTACCAAACTAGGTAACGCCATCAGTGCTAGAAGGGGGTGGGGTTTGTGGAGAAGAGGAGGAGGAGGAGGGAGGAGGAGGAGGAGGAGGATTATGGGGTCCTGGGTGCTCTCTGAGTTTGGTGGTTTCCTTGCAGATGTTTCATTACCAAACTAGGTAACGCCATCAGTGCTACAGGGGGATGGGGGTTTGTGGAGAAGAGGAGGAGGAGGAGGAGGAAGATGATTGTGGGGGTCCTGGGTGCTCTCTGAGCTTGGTGGTTTCCTTGCAGACGTTTCATTACCCAAGTAGGTAACGCCATCAGTGCTAACTGATGTCATGGGGGGGTGTGGAGAGCTGGTGGGAAAACACGGCACTGGGATGCTGTTTTGGGCAGCAGTCTCGTGAGTTTTATGCGTGTGTCAGGGCCTCCCCTTCCCCCCTCCGCCCTTTTAATCCAAATCCAGTGCCCAGGGGAAGAGGGTGATTTGCGGGGCGGGTGTCCTGGCAGGCTGGACGTTACCTCCTCTATCTTTTTGAAGAGGTCTTGGACGGAGGGGTCCTTTCCAGGCAAGGGCCTGGTCCGGTTTTCTCGATCCGGGTCTGTGAACAGCTTCTCCAGGCTCTTGATTTTGTCCTTGCACTGGGAAAACTATCAGGCAAGATCAAGAAGTGGATCCTAAGCAGCCGGCTTGGTAAGGCAGGGGTTGTCCCCTTCATCATCATCATCATCATCATCATCATCATCATCATCACAAAACAAAATACTAGAACAAGTGAAGATTCTCCTTCCTAGAGCAATTGGACCCCCACCTCTCCCTCCCTCCCTCCCTTCATCTTTCTTTCTTTCTTTCTTTCTTTCTTTCTTTCTCTTTCTTTCTTTCTTTCTTTCTTTCTTTCTTTTTTCTTTCTTTTTCTCTTTCTTTCTCTTTCTGTCTTTCTTTTTTCTTTCTTTCTTTCCTTTTCCTCCCTCCCCTTCTTTTTTCCTTCCTTCCTTTCTTTTCTTCCTTTCTTCTTTCTTTCCCTCCCTCCCTCCATCCCTTCCTTCTTTCTCTTTCTTCTTTCTTTCCTTCCTTTCCTTTCTTTCCTTTCCTTTCCCTCCCTCCCCTCCTCTTTCTTTCTTTCTTTCTTCTTTCTTTCCTTCCTTCGTTTCCTTCCTTTCTTTCCTCCATCCACTTTTTTTCTTTCTTTTTTCTCTTTCTTTTTTCTTTCTTTCTTTTTTTCCTTTCCTTTCTTTGTTTCCTTTCTTTCTTTCCTTTCTTTCCCTCCATCCACTTTTTTCTTTCTTTCTTTTTCTTTCTTTCTTTCTTTTCTTTCTTTCCTTTCCTTCCTTACTTCCATTTCTTTCCCTCCATCCCTTTCTTTCTTTCTTTCTTTCTTATCTTTCTTTTTTTCTTTCTTTCGTTCCTTCCTTCCTTTCCCTCCCTCCCCTTTCTTTGTTTCTTTGTTTCTTTGTTTCTTTGTTTCTTTGTTTCTTTGTTTCTTTCTTATCTTTCCAATCTTTCTTTTTCTTATCTTTCCTTCCTTCTTTCCTTTCCCTCCCTCCCTCCCTCCCCTTTCTTTCTTTCTTTCTTTCTTTCTTTCTTTCTTTCTTTCTTTCTTTCTTTCTTTCTTTCTTTCTTTCTTTCTTTCTTTCTTTCTTTCTCTTTCTTTTCCCTCCCCCCTCTCTTTCTTCCTTTCCTTTCCTTTCCTTTCCTTTCCTTTCCTTTCCTTTCCTTTCCTTTCCTTCCTCAAAACAAATTCTAAGAAAACAGGACTCAGCCACAAAAATGAGCATTTTCTCAAAAAAAAAATCGGCAGGTGATTCATTCTCTGGAACTACTACTTCTCTCTTTTTTTCTTTTCTTGCAAAGTTACACCATCCACTTGCTTCCTGTTTTCAGAAGTTAACTTGCATCACAGGAAAAAGGTGTAAACACCACCACCACCACCACCCAGAAAAATTAGAACCTCAGCAAAAATCGCTTAAAAGGGAAGGAGAGAACTAACGTGGGAAAATAAGGTAAAATAAAAATAAAAACTGACGTCCCTTCCCTGAGGAACACTTTGTTTTAAAAATTGGCTGGGCTGCCGCATTTCAGGAAAATGACAAATGTTGGTGAGGATCCACAACAGCCGAACGGGACACTCCATACTACAAAATGAAAAAGTGCTAAGTGGGGGGAAAAAAATGCATGTACCTCCAAATAACAGGATGTGGTTGTCGTTGCAGCAAACACTTAAATGTGCAAGCGGCGTAGCAACGTACAATATTTACACCTGCCATCGTTGGTCCCTGCCATCCTGTACGTTACATCCAGAGCGCATTTATGAAACGACTCAGCAAAAAAAAAATAAATCACTGGCCAAGATTTCTCTCCAGACAGCTAGAAATTGGTTCAACTAGATTGTTGTTGTTAGTTGCGAAGTCGTGTCCAACCCATTGCGACCCCATGGACAACGTTCCTCCAGGCCTTCCTGTCCTCCACCATCTTCTGGAGTCCATTGAAGCTCACACCTACTGCTTCAGTGACTCCATCCAGCCCCCTCCTTCTCTGTCATCCCCTTCTTCTCTTGCCCTCCATCTTTCCCAGCATCAGGCTCTTCTCCAGGGAGTCCTTCCTTCTCATTAGGTGGCCAAAGTCCTTGAGTTTCAACTTCAGGATCTGGCCTTCTAAAGAGCAGTCGGGGTTGATCTCCTCCAGGACCGACCGGTTGGATCGCCTTGCAGTCCAGGGGACTCGCAGGAGTAGATTACTGTATCAGATTAAGGAAGATCTAGCTAGTTCTTCTTAAAAGGGTCTATTCTATGGCCAGGACAGCTGCAGTGTCCGGGGTTCACGCGAGCCCCTTTTGCGAACATCTGACAAGCGAAGTCAATGAGGAAGCCCAGATTCGCTTAACAAACGTACTAATTTAACAATTGCAGCGATTCACTCTTAACAACGGTGGCAGGAAAGAGTGTAAAATGGCGCAAAACTCAACCAATGTCTCCCTTAGCAACAGAAAATTGGGGCTCGGTTCTGGGTGCGAGTTGAGGCCTACATGTACTGTTCCAGACAAACAGTTGTCCAATCTCTTCTTAAACACCTCCAGGGATGGAGTACCCACAACATTTTTTTTGAGGCGAGCCGAAGGATTAAAATCGAATCAGAGTTTGTCTTCTGTAGAACTGTTTGGCTGAGCCGAGCCGTTGTTTGACATTAATAGAAGTGAAACTACATTTAGGCTTATATTAGAATGGTTTCTAGACAACGGAACATAACACACCACAACTTGATTTTCCTCTATTTTTTTTTTTTTAAATGGAAGCTCAAATAAGGAACTTAAAGAGTTCCTCTTTTGAACAGAAACAGAAACCTGCGGGAGAGTCACGGAGCAAGGATTTAGTCACCACAGATGCAGAGGCTTCCCTCTCGGTTCAACGTCCAAAAGCCTGAATGACTGCTGCTTTTCCTAGCAGAGGTCCCCAACCTTTTGGGCACCAGGGACCGGTTCCGTGGAGAGAGATTTTCCCACAGATCGGAGTGTGTGTGTGGTTTTGTGTGCTGCCTGCATCCCACGGATGGGGCTTTGCTTGTTTGTGCGGACCGGTTGCTGGCGTGCCACAGCCCGCTACCGGTTCACAGACCAGGGGTTGGGGAACCCCTGAACTAGAGGAATAGCAGCAGCCCATGGGGCACAATCCCAGTGGCAATGTATGGCTGTGAAAGTTGGACCGTAAGAAAGGCTGAGAAAGGCCAAAGAATGGAGGCCTTTGAACTCTGGTGCTGGAGAAGACTCCTGCGAGTCTCCTGGACTGCAAGGCGATCCAACCGGTCAGTCCTAGAGGAGATCAACCCCAGACCAGATCCTGAAGTTGAAACTCAAGTCCTTTGGCCACCTAATGAGAAGGAAGGACTCACTGAAGAAGAGCCTGATGCTGGGAAAGATGGAGGGCAATAGAAGAAGGGGACGAGGGTTGGACTAAATGACCTCCAAGGCCCCTTCCAACTTTATTATTATTATTATTATTATTACTTGCTTACCTGAATCTGAAGGACCACTAAATCGGCGTCGAGAGTCCTCTTGGTGGGCAACATTTTCACGGATAATTCAATCTGCCTTTTTTTCTCTATCAGCTTCAGCTTCAGGTAGCGTATCTTCTCGTCCATCACGTTAATCTCGATGTCGCCGTTGCGGCTCATCATTTCCTGAATGTTGATTTTTTCATAAAAAATGCAGACTTCTTCCTCCCGCTCGATGAGCTGAACCCCGCTGCAACCAAACCCAAAGCAAAGGCTGCAAGAAGGCAGATTATAAAAGATCCGGTGCCCTTTAATCTACACGGAATAAAGGCAGTCCTCAGCTTACAACCGTTTAGTGACCGTTCAAAGTTCCAACGGCGCTGAATAAAGTGACTTAACAGCCATTTTTTGCAGTTACGGGCTCTGCAGCGTCCTCGTGGTGATGTGATGCTTGCAACTGGCATGTACTTATGACGGTTTGCAGCGTCCCCCGGGGTCACATGACCTCCTTTTGCGACCTGACAAGCAAGGTCAATGGGGAATCCAGATTCACTTAATAACCGTGTTCCTAATTTAACAACTTCAGCGATTGAGTTAACAAGGGTGGCGAGGAATGTCGTAATATGGGGCAAAATTCACTTAACAAATGTCTCGCTTAACAACTTAAATTTGGGGCTCAGTGGCGGTCATACGTTGAGGACTATCTGTATTAACAGTGCATTTATTGCCAGTCAAATCAAAGATAAACTTCTTTTTCATTAAAAGGTGTTATTTTTCCTGTTCCTTTACATTTTGTTTATTCAGTAATAATTTCTGGGCATTGGCTAGCCCAGGGGTAGGCAACCTCGGCTCTTTTATGACTTGTGGACTTCAACTCCCAGAATTCCTCAGCCAGCATGGCTCAGCTTGGAAACCTCTCCCTTTCCCCTCAGCGTGGCTGGCTCAGGAATTCTGGGAGTTGAAGTCCACAAGTCATAAAAGAGCCAAGGTTGCCTACCCCTACCCTATATCAGGGGTCCTCAACCTTGGCAACTTTAAGACTTGTGGACTTCAACTCCCAGAATTCCTGAGCCAGCATGGGGGAACTATGGCCCCTTCATGACTCGCGGACTTCAACTCCCAGAATTCCTGAGCCAGCATGGGGGAACTATAGCCCCTTCATGACTCGTGTACTTCAGCTCCCAGAATTCCTGAGCCAGCATGGGGGAACTATGGCCCCTTCATGATTCGTGGACTTCAACTCCCAGAATTCCTCAGACAGCATGGGGGAACTATGGCCCCCTCATGACTCGTGGACTTCAACTCCCAGAATTCCTGAGCCAGCATGGCTCAGCTTGGAAACCTCTCCCTTGCCCCTCAGCATGGCTGGCTGAGGAATTCTGGGAGTTGAAGTCCACAAGTCATGAGGGGGCCATAGTTCCCCCATGCTGGCTGAGGAATTCTGGGAGTTGAAGTCCACGAGTCATAAAAGAGCCAAGGTTCCCCACCCCTGGGCTAGATTAATATCAGCCACGTTTTGGGAGTCGAAATAACTATAAAAAAAACAGAATGGCTAATATTTTGGGTTCTTTGTTGTTTTTTGTTCAAACTCTGAACAAATTGTTCGTTCGAATATAATTGCCTATTGTTTAGAAACCCTTTCCTATTTTTAAGAACACTTGTTCAAGAACAAGCTTCACGGATTGAGAAATGTGTGACTACTTCGAAGAAATGTAAAAGCACATTCCTGCTTAGTCTTTCAAAGGTACACTGTGAAAAGTCAACGTTTGCTTCTCAAATAATAAAGACGGGATAACACTCAGCTAAATAAATAAATAGTTCAGCGGTATTGCCACAGAGTTATTAGGCAGATTGTGTTGTAATGCGGTTCACACCACCCACAAATTATTGCTCTTTCAGCAAGCGGACCTGACCTAGGGTGGATTTTATACTGGGTTTTTTAGGAATTTGGAAGACACAACTTTAAAATTTGGTTTAATTCGGTTTTAAGGGGGGGATTGTATATATGCTTTGGTTTTAAATATGTTGTGCGCCGCCCTGAGTCCCGCTGGGAGAAGGGCGGCATATAAATTAAATTAAATAAATAAATAAATAAAATAAATTTCAACTGTGCATTCTTATAAAGGTTTATTTGGAAATTAGATGCTCACGCTCATATATGTTAAGACCAAAACTTAGTCAAATCAATTAACAAAGGGTAAGAATGACACTTGTTAAGTTACATTTTCTGTACAGGTAGTCCTCAACTAGTAACAGTTCATTTAGCGACCGTTTGAAGGGGCCACGGCGCTGAAAAAAGCGACTTACAGCCATTTTTCGTACTTACGGCCATTTTTCGTATTTACGGCGGTTGCACCATCCCCACGGTCACGTGATCAAAAACTGAGAAGCTTGGCAACGGACTCATATTTACGACCGTCGCGGTGTCCTCGGGGGTCACGCGATCCCCTTTGGCGACCGTCCTGACAAGCAAAGTCAACGGGGGGAGGCCAGATTCATTTAACGACCCTGTTAGTAACTTAACTACCTGCTGTGATTCAGTTAGCGACAGGGGCAGGAAAGGTCGTAACGTGGAGCAAAACTCGTGTCTCGCTTAGCAACAAAGATGGGCTCAATTGTGATTGTACGCCGAGGACTGCCTGGGTAACTCTCCCAGCTAAGGCACCGAGGGCCCGTCTCCCTACCTTTCGTTCCGTCGCTGAACGGCCTTTTCGTACGTTTTACGCAACTGGACCATTTCCTCCTCGATGTGGGTGAGGGTGTTGGTCAACCTCTCGACGTCCATCAGCTGCTGCTCCCGTTTTTCCTTCATCTCCTGGAGGTTTTGACAGACCTTGCAAACGTCACTCTGGATGCTGTCCTTGATGGCCACGTTGTTTGCGTACTTCATCTGGTATTTCTGCAGTTTCCTGAAGACACACACAAAAAAAAAAAGACGAAGGAAACACAATTGCTCTTGACCAAGGCTCTTCAAACTTGGCAACTTGAAGACTAATAATAATAATAATAATAAAGTTGGAAGGGACCTTGGAGGTCATCTAGTCCAACCTCCTGCTCAGGCAGGAAATACCATTTCAGACCAATGGCTGTCCAGTCTCTTCTTAAAAACTTCCAGTGTTGGAACATTCACCGCTTCTGGAGGCAAGTAGTTCCACTGGTTGATTGTTCTAACTGTCAGGAAGTTTCTCCTTAGTTCTAGGTTGCTTCTCTCCTTGATGAGTTTCCACCCGTTGCTTCTCGTTCTGCCTTCCGGGGCTTTGGAGAATAGCTTGACTCCCTCTTCTTTGGGGCAGCCCCTGAGATACTGGAAGACTGCTATCATGTCCCCCCTCATCCTTCTCTTCGTTAAACTAGACATACCCAATTCCAGCAACCGTTCCTTATATGTTTTAGCCTCCGGTCCCCTAATCATCTTTGATGCTCTTCTCTGTACTCTTTCTAGAGTCTCAACATCTTTTTTACATTGTGGTGACCAAAACTGGATGCCGTATTCCAGGTGTGGCCTTACCAAGGCCTTGTAAAGTGGTATTAACACTTCACGTGATCTTGATTCTATCCCTCTGTTAATGCAGCCCAGCACTGTGTTGGCCTTTTTGGCAGCTGCAGCACACGGCTGACTGGTGGACTTCAACTCCCAGAATTGCTCAGCCAGCGTCCACAAGTCATAAAAGGGCCAAGTTTGGAGACCCCTGGTATAGGGTCTCCTGCCAGAGAAGGGGGTTGGACTAGAAGACCTCCAAGGTCCCTTCCAACTCTGTTGTTCTTTCCTGTGCTTCGGATTTCCTGACAAGCAAAGTCAACGGGGGGGGGCAGATTTACTTAACAACCCTGTCACTAACTTAGCACCTTCAGTGATTCACTATGGAAAGAAAGGTCGTAAAATGGGGCAAAATTCACTTAACGAATGTCTCGCTTAGTGACAGAATTTTTGGGGGCTCGTTTGTGGTCGTACGTCAATGACTACCCGTAGGTTTTTTTTTTGCAAGGAAGAAGAAACGAGACATCCCTTCACGAAGGACATTTAAAAGAACAAGAAAGCTAAAGAAGCAACGGAGATTCTTTGGCTATTTTCCTAAAATGTTAAGATTGCAAAGAAATCGTTTTGCTCGGAAAAGAGGCAATAAGAAATTTCCCCCTTTTTTTCTTCTTCACTGGAATAAAGAATTTATAGGGAGCAGATTTTGACCTGTGGGGAAATGTTATCAAGAGTATAATAGTTTAAGCCGCAGATATTTTTGTTGGGTATTATGGAAGACTTGGATGCAAAAGAAATGGAATTGATGTTGAACTTTATAACTGCTGCAAGACTATTAGTAGCTCAATATTGGAAAACGGAACGTTTACCTACTATAGAAGAATGGTCATTTAAAGTCTCGAATTTAGCAGAAATGGCTAAGATTTCCACTTATGTGAAGGATTACTCCCAAGAAAGGTATATTTTGGTTTGGAGAAGATGGATAGATTATACTGAGTGTAAATATGGGACTAAAAAATATCATTTGGTTTTTGAGTAAATTTTAGAGTATTATGGTTGTATAAAGGTTAGAATTATTTTATTTAGTATTATTTTTAATTATTAAAGTGTTGTTATTATTATTGTTTCTAATAATTGTACTGTTTAAAAGAGAGTTAAAGGAGGTTATAGATATGTTATTTTAATAGTTGATTAATGTTAATTAGAGTATGATTACGTTATTGTTAACCCTGTGATTGGCACTGGGAAGTGAGGGGGGAGGGAGGGGGGTGTGGAAGGGTGGGAAGGGGAAGGGGAAGGGGGGGATTTATATTGTAAAATTTTATAAAATTTTTAATAAAAAAAAAAGAGTATAATTGAGAAGCAAATATAAAAAAGACTTGCATCCTTGCACTTTAAAAAAAAACAAACCCTGATTTCTAAACAAAATCAAGGACGTTATTTTTACGGGCGAATCGTTTAAACCCGAATACTCACCTCTCTTTGATGACGGCGTTGTTCCTTAAAATTTCCATCTCGTTGTCGAGCATTTTGACTTTATCTTTCATTTCGTTCGTTTTCTGGCGCGCGCAGTGCACCAGATTCACCAGTTTGTTTCTCTCGTGTCGCACGACGTCGTACAGTTTGGCAAATTCTCTCATCCTGAAACACACACAAACACACACACACACCCCAAAAAAAAAGTATTTTAAGGAAAACACTGAAGCGGTCAAACTTCCCTTTTTTTTTTTCTTCCCCCCCCCCCCCAATGTTGGGCGAGCAAAACCCCACGGTAATAATCGTCTTACTGTCTCTGAATTTCTCTCTGTTTCTTGGTATGCTCCCTGATTTCAAAGTCTTTTGTTTTTATTTCCGCAATGATGTTATTCAGACGCAGCTGCAAAAAAATCACCAAAAAACAGAAACAGCAATGGATATTTGGGGAGCTGTCAAAATGGCCAGGCCGTTTCTAAAAATCAAGGCGGCAAAGATTATTCAAGACCAGTGGTTCTCAATCTTTTTAATGCTGCGACCCCCAACCGGTCGTAAGTCGAGGACTAAACCGGTCGTAAGTCGAGGACTAAACCGGTCGTAAGTCGAGGACTACCCAACCGGTCGTAAGTCGAGGACTTTCCCTGCCCGGGAGCGCCGCGCATGCGTGGTTCCGCCCCCTGCGCCGGCCGAGGCGTAGCTGGCAAGCGGCAGAGACGGAGCAGGCCGACCACCAGCTGGCCCAGCCCAAGGGAGGTAAGGCACCCGCCGGAAAAGGGGAAAAAAATGGCGGACAGCCTTGCTTGGCGACCTCTGTGAAATGGTCGATTGACCCCAAATGGGGTCGCGACCCATAGGTTGAGAACCGCTGTTCAAGAGTATGGTTCTCTTTTATTCCAAAAGAGAATGTATTTGGGGTTTTACCGATTTGACGGATTTGCCGATACAGAAATGGCGAGCGCCTACTACCACATAAATGTAAAAAGTTGAGATTTGATTTTAATATCTGATTTTGCTGCAACCGAGAGAGTCGGAAATCAATGCCTTTTATTTCTTCCCCTTCCCTTTCCTCACATCTTTTCTGTTTTCCCTTTTTCTACTGTTTTTTTAAAAATACGTTTTATTGATTTTGAACATACACTTTAATACTTGGTAAAACATCGTGTTGTCTGGGTTAATGTTTAAAAAAAAACAACCAATAACGATTAATTTCTATAATTCTGTAGTCCGTAGGATAGCTTTACGTGATTTCATCTTCTTCTGATAATATTCTCTTTTGCCGACCTTAAATGAATACAATTCTGGTTTAAATAAGTGAGCAATTAAATATAAACATTTTTCTCATGTTTCTGCAAGTAATAACATCACTATAAAGCTTCTTTTCATTGGTCCTTTTGATTTGCCTCATTGTAGGTCCTGCTTACATCCTTATTTAAATTTGTTTCCCCCACGGTATTCAAATCTTAACCAATAAGTTGTAAACCCACCTGGTGAAGGTGCTGTCTATCCCACATTTTACTCTCTTGCCAATGGGGAAGGTCTAGCTCAGGGGTCTTCAAACTTGGCCACTTTAAGACTTGTGGACTTCAACTCCCAGAATGCCTCAGCCAGCCCTGAGGCATTCTGGGAGTTGAAGTCCACAAGTCTTAAAGTGGCCAAGTTTGAAGACCCCCTGGTTCTAGCTTGTCAACGGGGAAAGCCAGATTCACGTAGCCATTGTGTTACTAACTTAACACCTGCAGTTCCTTTCACAACTATAGCAAGGAAGGTCGTCAAACGAGACAAAACTGGCTCAACAACTTGTCTTCCTCAGCAATGGACATCTGGGGCTCAACGGTGGTCGTAAGCCGAGGACTTCACCTGTACTTGGGCATCCCAAGATGTTTTTTTGAAAATTCAAGCTTCCTGAATGAGCACCTTAGAACTTTTGCAGAAAAGAACAAAAGCCTGACTTACCGAGCATCCCGTTGTAAGTCCTAATTCTTCTCCTTTCCCGCGGCATGTGAATGCAATAGAGGGAGAACAACAATGACATTACAAGTAGGTTTAGACTGGCCAGAGGTCTGGATTTGAAACGGGTACATCCCTGGTAGAGATGGGAAGGCTTGGGGAAAAAATTGGGGGGTGGAAAAAAACAGGGTCTTTTTTCCCCCAAGCCATTTGGGGGGGAAAAAAACTGGGAAAATCATCTGGTTTTCCCCCCAATTTTTTCAGTTTTTTCCCCCCAGGTTTTCCCATTTCTAGGCGTGCGCCATGGGTCCTGCGATGAAAATGAAGGGGAAGATAGAATGAATCAGACACAACTCTACACGATGGATGCACGGGAAGTCCAGGTGGACCAAGATGGAAAGTCCCCTGGAATGTTCTTACCTGGGCTTTCAAAAAATCCTTACACTTCTGTTCTCTCTCGTCGGCCTTCAGCTGGGTCATACGGATCGAGTTGTTGAATTCTTCTCGGTAATGTTCTTGCGCCCCGATCAGTTGGTCCTCCTCGGCGATGCACTGCTCAAGAATCCGCACTTCGGAATCTGTGGATGTTTTCTGGGTAGGAAATAATCAGAGGGACATGCCAGGATGGGATATGTTCATCAATATATCTGCAGAAGAGGAATTTGGTGCCTTGGGTGCTGAACAGTGGAGCCCCTTGGTTGGTGTTCTCGGAGTTTGATGTTTTATGACCCAAACTAGGGAACGTCATCAGCACGGATGATGTTAGCTAGTTGGGTAATGAAACGTCTGCAAGAAAACCACCAAGCTCAGAGAGCACCAAGGACCCCACAGTCCTTCTTCTCCTTCTCCTCCATTGCACAAACCCCACTCCTTTCTAGCACTGATGATGTTAGCTAGTTGGGTAATGAAACGTCTGCAAGAAAACCACCATTATTATTATTGTTAATAATAATCTTAGAATAGATTCTATTCTATTATCATTTGTTATTGTTAATAATCTTAGAATAGATTCTATTCTATTATGTTATTGTTAATAATAATAATCTTAGAATAGATTCTATTCTATTATCATTTATTATTGTTAACAATAATCTTAGAATAGATTCTATTCTATTATCATTTGTTAGTTAATAATAATAATCTTAGAATAGATTCTATTCTATTATCATGTTATTGTTAATAATAATCTTAGAATAGATTCTATTCTATTATCATTTGTTGTTAATCTTAGAATAGATTTTATTCTATTATCATTTGTTGTTAATAATCTTAGAATAGATTCTATTCTATTATGTTATTGTTAATAATAATAATCTTAGAATAGATTCTATTCTATTATCATTTGCTATTGTTAATAATAATCTTAGAATAGATTCTATTCTATTATCATTTGTTATTGTTAACAATAATCTTAGAATAGATTCTATTCTATTATCATTTGTTAGTTAATAATAATAATCTTAGAATAGATTTTATTCTATTATCATGTTATTGTTAATAATAATCTTAGAACAGATTCTATTCTATTATCATGTTATTGTTAATAATCTTAGAATAGATTCTATTCTATTATCATTTGTTATTGTTAATAATCTTAGAATAGATTCTATTTTATTATCATTTGTTATTGTTAATAATAATAATAATCTCTACATTTCAACAATATACCAAGAAAAGGTGTGGATTGTAACAGAGTGACAGAGAAAACACCACTTCAGCACTGCTGGATCCCTGGTTTCTCCTCTCTATTTAATTCTTATAACGTTAAATTGTTTTTATATTTATATTTTTATTGTTCTGTTGCATGTTGCCGAGAATTGCTTTGGGGAGGGGCAGAGGCATATAAATTAAAGAAATAAATCAGCAACCGTACACATAAATGTATCGGAGGGGAAAGAATATTCTTGACTTTTCGTTTGGAAGGTGCGCTACTTAAAATATTTTTAGTATTTTAGCTTTCCCCTTATGGAAGGGGTAATGTAACTACGGTTTTATCAGAATAAAAAGTGGGGCTAAGACTGGAATAAATAATGTAAGAGGTTTATTTTTTTTTAAATCTTGACTTTCTGGATAGCGGCAGTGGAAAACTCCGAAACAATAAGGCACAGTGCTTGCTAAAGGCTATGTTTCTTCATTCCGGTGGCCCAAACATGTTTGTTAGATTTATACCCCTAAGGCGGGCCTGTACATAGCATCCCCACCTCCCATTGTAACCGCACAACAATAACAACAATGCCATGAGCTGAGTGGAGGCATGCTAGAGAGTAAATGAGGATTCTGGATTCCCCCACCACTAACCCAACATTTTTACCACTGTACGCCATATTCGGTGCCCAAAATACTGCATTACGCAGAACGGGAATACGGAATCCCTCGCGAAAGGAAAAGGATGACAGGGAGAGAAAAATCAGATGCAGACCAAAGAGTTTCATGGAAAGCCAGGGCTGGAAATGGGGAGGGGAAACCTGGCAACCTGCCAAATACGGGGTCTCCCCTCCAGCGTTCTTCCCTGCCGGAGAGTATGGCGAGCACTGAGAATGGCCTGGCAGAGACGGGGGGGGGGGGGGGGGGGGGGGGGGGGGGGGGGGGGGGGGGGGGGGGGGGGGGGGGGGGGGGGGGGGAGAAGGAACAAGATGTCACAGAGGGACAGAGGAGTCCATTCATGGGGGCTGTGCAGCCAAATGGAAAAGGGATGGGAAACATTGACTGAAAGAGTGCTGTCTACACCCCACATGTCCTAGGGACCTTTGGCATCGCTTTCGTGATTTTCCTTCCCTTGAATTTTTCCTAACCATCATCGATGGATGGAGATACTGTAGATACAGATACACAGATGTAGATGTAGATGTAGATATAGATATAGATAGGTAGGCAGAGAGATAGATGATAGATGGATGATGAATAGATGGATGATGGATGGTGGGAGGGAGGGAGGGAGAGAGAGACTGAAAATAGATGACAGATGGATGATGGATGGAGAGGGATGGATGGATGGATGGAGATAGATAGATGATAGATAAATGATAGATAGATAGATAGATAGATAGATAGATAGATAGATAGATAGATAGATAGATAGATAGATGACAGATATACAGATATACAGAGACAGATAGGTAGATAGAATGGATGGATGATGGATGGATGGATGATGGATGGTGGGAGAGAGAGATTGACAAATAGATGTCAGATGGATGGAGAGGGATGGATGAATGATGGAGATAGATAGATAGATAGATAGATAGATAGATAGACAGACAGACAGACAGACAGACAGACAGACAGATTCATAGATAGATAGATAGATAGATAGATAGATAGATAGATAGATAGATAGATAGATAGATAGATAGATAGATAGATAGATAGATAGATAGATAGATAGATATACAGATATACAGATATACAGAGACAGACAGACAGACAGACAGACAGACAGACAGACAGACAGACAGACAGATAGATAGATAGATAGATGGATGGATGATGGATGGATGATGGGAAAGAGGGAGAGAGAGAGAGAGAGAGATTGACAAATAGATGACAGATAGATGAATGATGGATGGAGATAGATAGATAGATAGATAGATAGATAGATAGATAGATAGA